GTCTCCGTATCAAGTCTCTCCCACTTTCCAAAGAAGCTCTCCTGAGATGTTTTTTTTTTATTTTTTAAATGTATTTCAGTGGCGGTTAGACTGACGGCTTCGTTTAATGGCCGAGCATGAAAACTCGTAAGAGTCAAGTGCGAGAAACAAGCACAGACGGATGTGACGGAAGGACGAGCTGGTCATTTTTCAAAATAAAACACCCTACAGACTCTGCTGGAAATAAAAATAAACCAATAAAATGTTTTTTTTTTCTTTCTGTGCAGCCCGGTACCAAATGACCCACAGCCTGGCACTGGTCCACGGTCCGGTGGTTGGGGACCGCTGCTTTATATGGTTAGATTTAGTCAACAAAGTTCAGGCTTTTGAAAGGTCGGGGCTTTAACCCTTTCGACAGTATAGCCTGATATACCGGGCTGGCATTACAACTCCCGTTCAACACTGCAGACCACTATATCAGTCTGCAGGGTATTGCGGGATATTCGCTACCTAGTTTCCGAAATGTTTATAAGCGATCAAAACTAACGAACTCATTACAAGACTTTGGCTGATGTCTCAGTATATAAGAACTGATGATTAATTGCATATATCCCTGCTAATTGTGAAGTTTACCTTTTCTTTGTCACACCTGTATTTCACCTGTATGTATATGACAAGAGTAAACTTCCACATATATATTTAACCGTCAAATTGTCTGCTTTTGATTGATACCAGATATTTAATGATGTGAAGTCTGCTTAAGAATCTATGAGTGATTAATCAAAACCATATCTGATCATGAATTTCAAGCAGAGTTACTGAGTGTTGAAGTGAATACACATTCACTTAGTGTTGAAAGGCTTAATGTACTGTTGAATGTAACTGTTTTGAATCAACTCTAACCTTAACCACTTGTGTGCCGCGGCATAGATTTTTGAAAACACTCGTGCAACAGCTGTTTTCAAGAACATTTTGTCAGTCGGCAAACATAAATATATTAGATAATATTTTACTGAAATGTTTGTCGCTGACATCATGTGACTTGATGGGTATATTTTTTAGCAACATTGCGTTACTCGGTTGATAAATTAAATAAAACTAAGAAGGTGGCATTACATTTTTGCTCATTTTGAAGAATCTAGATGTAATTCCTAGGAAGTGGCCTATATTAAACACAGAGCAACAAGGATGTTGTTAGAATGGCCACATCCCATCTGGGGCTGCTTGACTCACTTTGACGTTAGAGTTTAGCCAGCCTAAACGCAGTCTTTACACACCGGCTACGTTCTTTCACTCAAGCTGAGAGGTTACCTTATTCCTTATCCATCAAGCAAACCCAGGAAAACAACTCCTTCTCCAGCGAAGGGGGGAAAAAGCCAGTGTAATACGTTGCAGTACATCTGTTGTGAAAAGGCTCCTATCTAATTGTAAAGCTGAGTTCCAAGTAGAACGTGAGTATCATCAATACAGTAAAGCCCGAAAATAACTCCATGTGAAGGTATTTCTCCAAAATATGTACCCCGTAACTCCATGACCATATCATCAGATAAACTGAATTTACATTTGTACATTTGTTGTTTTGATCCTGAGAGACATCACCCTCCATGCTGTTCTGTTGTGCCAACTTCGGCCCAAACAGGATTTAGCTTCATGAAATAGCAAAATGGACATTCGTAAATATGTCTGGTTCATATCTGCTCCTAAGGGAATAAAGCATTTCAGGTGTTCCTGACCTCATGGGGCTTTCTGTCGTACCACCCTCAGGACAAACATCACATGTTTTGGTGAAGCTCTCAGAAATGGCCACTATGATGATCAGTCTTTTCTGCACTTTGATATTTTGGGATGTAACGGATGTTGTAGCAGCCTCACAACCACCAAACAGGCCTTTGAATCTTTCTTCTTCTTTTTTTTTTTTTTCTTCGTGTGGGATATTTGATGGTAAATTGTGTTGCACACAGTCTGCGGATGTGTCCTGACTATAATTAGAGTTCCGAAATAATTTAGCATTCACACTTGCTGTGAGTTTCATCATCTGCTCAGGCTCTGTTCAATAGGTCCCCTCTGAATAAATGACAACAAAGCAATGGGCAATTATAATAGAAAAATTGGTTTGTATGATAACATCAAGTTGACTGTGAAAGGGAAGGAAACTCGCTGCTTTTTTTTTTTTTTGGTACAGGAGAAGTGGAGGAGGGCTTGGGGAGATTGGGTCGCGGGGAGTTGGAAAGAACATTTCTTTTTTGTGTTCGTCACAGAGGTGGTCGTTTTCTTTACCGATGTAGGGTTCATGGCTATTACACAAGTTCCTGTTGATCATCAGCGGCACTTTTCTGGTGCAAAAGTAGCTCTGGGATTTAGATTCTGTGAGGAAACGTGGAGGTCCGCTCGGCTTTGTTCTTCACCGATCTCGAGTGCTTACACTGTTGTCCTTCTGTCGGGTGATCTGCTCATTGACCTTGCACAAAGTTTATGAGGAGCTACAAAAAAAAAATCACAGTAACGCAAAGCGAGTGCTCAGAGCAAGGTCAGAGCAACGGATTCATGGTGTGTTTTGTCTCATAAGTCGACTACTTTGCATAGCAATTGCGCAGTAAAAAAGTCATAGCTTTCCTCGTGGTGATTACACAGAATGAATTAAACATGCAGGTATTTGTAATTCATGGAAAATAGATATCTCTTCATTACCTTAAATAGAGCGCAGGTTGTCACGGAATGTCTTGCAAAGCTAAAATGTCAAAGCGCCTTGGACAGCTCCTCCACACACACACACACACACACACACACGCTGAAACATGATCCAAAGAAATGTGATATCCTAATCAAATTTAATGAGAGCAAACTGCATATTCCTGAAAGCGAGGCATTACGAACTGAACGCTGAATTTCATTTGCAATCATTAGTTTGTTTGAAGATGCTATTGCTCAATCTAATCTTTGAAAGAATACTTTAATACTTTATTAAATTAAATACTTTCATTAACTTCACTTGCATGGCAGGAAAATGAGTGAGTCAACAGTTGAAGGCGACGTTAACCGTGTGATGTAAAGTGACAGCAATCGAGAATGTACTCGGTAACTCCAGACGCTTCTGTCTTTAGCACCGTCAGAATTTTATTTACAGTCCTTCTTCAGTTGTTGGTTTAATTTTCTGTCGATCAAAGTTACTTATTTACATTTTTTTTTGTTTTTTTGTTCGTCGACTTTAGATATGAAACGAGGTAGATTCAAATCAACACTACTGCTTTCTTTTTCAATGTGCAGATCTGTAAAGTCCCCGCCTCTCCCTCCACTCACCTCCCCCTGGTTGCTGCAGCTCGAGCACACCAGCTCACCATCCATTCTGCTCAGACACTGCAAAATGACTACACACTACACAATGTCATTGTAAGATTAGAACAATTTAGCTGCATATGAGACTGTCATTCGCACAATGAAGTTTCAACATCAAAAAACACCAGATAGACACGTCAACAAGGTAAAAGCTGGAATTTTATTTTATTTCTTTTGCTGGAGGGCTGCTCCAGATCTCAACAAGCAGCATTGTGGCATTGGTATCTACTGCAGCCATGTAAATTTCATGAACTATTAAAAAGTCAACTGTAACTCTAAGAATCTTTGTATATCTATCCAAAAGATGAACCATTGTTTGAAGAAAGCCTTCTCTGCATTTTATATGTGGAGCTGATTAGTCTATTTAACACTTTCTGTTGTATAAATCTATCTTTTTGAGGTGACACAGTCTGTTTTTTTTTTTTTAACTTCCTCTGACACTTCTTTCCCATGTGGAGACTTGATGCAGACAAATTCCAAAACTGATAAACTTCTGATATTCACAGATTATTTAATTCTTTATGGGGCAAGTGACCATATTTGGTAACTTCCTTGGACGTTCAATATGTCCGCCCTGTGCCTCTCCTTGAGGTTAAAGAACCATGTGCTCTTTGATTTAGTGTTTATATTAGTGCCAATATCACTACCTTATGAAAAATGTCACTAAACAAATGTTCCAGGCACTTTATAAACACTTTGTTACTGGTTTGCAATGAACTCCATTTTGATTTATTTCTTGAGATTAGTGCCACTAACACCACTACCCCAAGAACAATGTGACTAAATGAACCTGCCAAGTGCTTTGTAAATACTTTGTTAGTGGTTGTGTGAGTATCATTACCTCAAACTAAAATGTTTCTGAATAAATGTTTTTGCAGTTTGTTACCTTTTCTTTTATTTATTATAAATTCCCTTTTTCTTAACCATAGACGGGCAACTTACCATATATGGTGACTTTATTAATCTTAAATTACAACATTTTTATTTATTTATTTTTTAAGTCACAAAAGTACAAATATCTTGACGTATCCTTTAACAACACCCTAGGGTTGAAATGTTCATTTTCCAAGTATTTCAAGGAGTGCCCTGTAAAGGGTTAAGCAATGAGGGTTGATTAAGGTGAGGTCAGTTTTGTTTCAGTGATCCCAGGTTTCCTAACTTGTCTCTGTGATCACAAGTATCCACTTTCATTGCCTCTAGTTTCTGTTTTATAGCCTGTATTTTCAATATAAGTCTTCTAAAGTATTTGGTTTGGATTCAGACAGTCAACGTGAATCATAAATCTTCATGGAAAAAAAAAAAAAAACCTGCTGGGGTTTTTTAATGCAACTTCCAGCAAACTGATTTTGCTCTGAAATTAAATGAAGTACTTGTTTGAGTGCAAAGTACAATTTTATCTGTAGTTTAGGTGTAAAAAAAGTACATGTCCAACACCACCTAGTAACAACTATCTGCAACGCTATGGTTCAAAATCTCTCCCTTGAGATGACAGTGAAACATTGCTCTTAGCCTGATGATAAGTCACCGTTTGAAGTCGTAGGCAGACGACAGTTTCTTATTTACCCAGCCAGCCTCAGTGAACAGTGTGCTGTGTTTTACCAAACTCATTGCAGTGATAACACACAGGCACAGATGCACCTAATTAAACACAAATGCTCTTTGTTTGTCGCTCATTTCCGTCTTCGCAGAGAGGAGCTGATGATCAGCTCGTCCTTTGACTCTCTGGAGGTCCTCCTGGATTCATTCGGACCCGTCAGAGACTGCACCAAAGACAACGGAGGCTGCAGCCGCAACTTCCGCTGCATATCCGACCGAAAGCTGGATTCCACCGGCTGTGTGGTGAGTCATCTTTCTTTTATAAAACTCTACCTGGAAGCTGCCATATGTCTGCCACAGAGGCAGAAGAAATGACCTTTCCTCTTAGATTTCTGTATAAATCAAATTCAAAGTATTACTGTCTGCACACATCCTTTTATGACTGAAGCAATATGGCAGCTTAACATTGAGTGCTTTTACCTCCAGCTGCTCCAACTCTTGGGGATTTTTGATCTTATGCCCACATACAGTCGATGGCCTCTTCGCTGCTGGTTAATATTCAGATGTTTTATGAATATCCTGTTGTGGTAATCGGTGTTTAAGTTCGTCCGGCTGTATAAATATTCATGGCCGTATCTGCGGGCCACAATGACCCGCATCAAGGACAAGCAGCAGCCCTGATCTAATTTTTCTGAGTAGACAGTTTAACTTTGACTCTTGTCTCATATGCCTCTTAGGCCGACAACACATTCATTACCTCCAGGTGGTGCTTAGCAACCAGGAAATGTAGCAGCCAGGTTTGTTTTCTTCTCCATCTGTTGGGGACTCCAGCAATATCGTTCTTGTTTTTTGCCGTATCTTAGCGCCGTCTGCTAGTGTTTTGCTTCTCCTAAATCCCCTCTTCTTTTGATAAGCTGTCAGGCATCATTCCTCCCCCCCTCCTTTCCTACAATTTAATTTCTTTTTGAGTACTTTGATGCACTTGAGTAGAGTCTTTTCAGGGGGGTTGGGGAGATGCTATTTATGCGATCCAGTATACTTATTTCTTGTAATGCATCTCGCGGAGAAGGTAACAGTTTGAGAGATTTTGAATTTGTTCTAATGGAAAGAGGCTTTACTTTTAGATTAGAGTGTAGACATGCATTTCCAAGCAATTATATACAGTGTGTAGGTGGTACCGTAAGCATTTGCACAGAGGAGTAAACATTACCTGGGGCAGCATGAAAAAAAAAAAGAGAAGCTGGAGTACATTTATTGATGACTGCCTTGCTTGGTCGTCACCCAACTGTAATCACTGTGAGTCTAAAACTTGAAACCATAAAGTTAGTGAGCTTAAAGAATCTAAATGGAAGATAGAAAATGGATTTTAGGCTCATGTTTTTTTCCGGTTTTGCCGTGCGTAGCATCACCACATCCTGCAAACTATAATCTGTTGCAACAACATGTAATGTAAATTGAGGACGTTCATTTCCCAGGATGGTGTCCTCATTAGATATGTCTTCTCATTCATGGTGTTATCTTTAAGCTGACACTGAATCATGCAAATGTTCAAGACGAAGTGTAGAAATGCTCAAATGGAAACCTTCACCAGATGTTGCAGACGATTTTGATGTTGTGAAATCTAAACTATGCTAAGACTACTGCATGCAGTTTGCCTTTCTGCTACTCTGGCAACTATTTTATTTGGCACACTATCTGGCACTAAAACTTTGCAGCCTAACTCTGCAGCTAAGTTCTTGTCAGGACAGAATATGATGGAACCACCAAATGACTTAATGCATCCCAGAGTGTCTTCCTTTACAACCCAGCAGCAGGCTGTTATAGTGGCCAAGACACAAAGCTAAATTTGCTTGTTTGTATTGATCAGTAATAGTCCAATGCAATGCAAAGAATTTATGTGGGCGTGACTTACTTAGAGAAATGGCATGTTGGTATGATAAACATTAGCACAGACGAGTACATGTGAAAACAAACAAACAAAAAAAAAACTGGTGTGATGTTTACCATCTTTAGCCCTAATCGCACGGGATTAGTGTTACCTCGGGACCAATGGTGATTTGTAATAATTGCGTAGGATGTCTGTGATCTTTATCCAGTGCGAATGCGTCATGTCTGTAATTTGTAAAGTAAAAATTCCACTGCAAATTACCTGCCGTATTTCGCCAAACACTGACGTCCTGTGATAATACCAGCCCCTTGTGAATCTGTATCTTAGCGATTGGGGGGTATTTTAGTTGGTACTTTTGTTATTTTTTAAGCTGTCGTGGTACCTTCTTTTTAGATAGTCCAGCCTTTTGTTAGTTTTCACACACTCTCTAACGTCCTTTATCGATGGGCAGGAGTTCCCTGTGAATGTCCTCCCAGATGGTGTGATTGTGTGTCATGTCATGAAATACCCTCTGGTACTGCGACTCACCCCACACGGCAATTTAATGTTTGTTTGCACGACCAGTGTCTTTTTTTTTTTTGCATGTAGCAGCCATTTTGCACATGGATGACACCAGCGGATGTTGCAACATGCACAGATTTGACATCATATCCGGGCTGTAATGTCAGTACATTCAAGTAAAATACAGACTTGGCTTATCCCGTGTGAATGCACTGCAAGAAAACACAGACTAATCTCGTGCAAATAGTACATGAGTTAACATTTGCTAACTTGCAGTCAATGCAAAGTGCTGCTGCATCTAAAGGGAAGGTTACACCTTTCAATCATCTCCACACTTCAGGACAGTCCATTGTTCCAGCAGTTTCGAAGACACTGTATTTCTCTCGAGTGGCAACCGAGAGCTCAGTTATCGTTACCTTTCCATACCTCAAGAATTGCGAACGTGGTAGCTACATATTTCACAGTACTGTGCCGTTCAGGTGCTACTTCAGTGAACCTTGAGCAGCTCTTTGGTACAAAGAATAATATCCACCTTTGCTAATGAAATAAGGCTTTTAAGCTTTTTGTCTTTTCATGGCTTGGTTGTGCCATTCTTTCAAAAACTAATGTTTATAAGTAATAACTCCTTGAAAACCATTTTCTGATCTGCAGAGCTTCAGTTTCAATCAACAGCAAATATTAAAAGCTTCTGAGCCCGTTAATGGATCTCATATCCGTAACGATGCACTCTGCTATGGCGTCTGCTATCTCTGCCTCTCTTTTCTCCGTTATCAATTTTTGGACCCGTTAGTTTCAAGTGTGGTTGAAAATGTTGGTGGCTATGACGCCTGGGGGGGACATATGAACAAGTTATTACTGGAATGGGCTGCTCTTGTTAGCCCTGGATTTCCCACAGTACTCTTTATATTTAATTAGAACTACTTGGCTCACTAGGCAACTATTTTCAAAGCAAAATGCATGTTTTTGGCGTATAATGTTACCATTCACATGGCAGATAAAAGCAGATTTATGAAAGCAGACATGCACTGAGTGAAATCCACCAACACTTGTTTTTTTTAGGGCGTCCAACAATAGCCAGCTGCTTATAGTATTCATGTGAGTTTTCTTCGTGCCAACCTGGTGTCAAACTGGATGTTGGGTGCACTGCCTTTCTCTTGTCATTGCTCAGTTTAAAGTGTTCCCACGCAGGTTAGGTCAGGCATTTCGTCTTCCTTTTTACCTGCCAAGATGAAGCGAAGCATGACGTTCACTGCTGTGTGTGAGAGATATACTAAGCACCTGAGTGGAGATGTTCAGTATATAACTCCACAAATAACAAATATCCACATAGCGTTGACAAAATGTGTTTTGCAGTTTGCTTTTATTGACATTTAGGAGAGAAAAAAAAAAACTGAATCCCAAAATTTAACATCTACGCAATGAGTGGATATCCAAGTATTTGATTATTCATGTCCAGCTCTAAAAAAAAAAATCTTTATTTCCTGTGGGCTTTAAATGTCACAAACCCGCTACTCAGGAGGAGCAAATCTCCTGGCTGAGCTCGTAGATACCATCATGAATGCATTCACCGCATATTCTCGTCACATCAAGTTCAAGGCCGCTGTGATCCACTTGAGTCTATCACAAATATCTAACTCGTTAGTTGTTAGAAGATAGGCGTTGGACCCTGTGTGGAACATTTGCTATCTAAAATTGCTTTAAAAAATTGTGAAAGGAGTCTCGTAAGTTGCAACAACATTGCAATGGAAGGCCCATCCATCCAATTTCCATCTGGTACCAGGAGATGACAGGGAGGATATTTTGAGCCAGCGCTTTGAAGTCTTGTAGGCATTTGGTTTTTATTTTTCGCTTAGTTAAGACATTCATTGTTTTCATGCTCTTCCCTGGTGTGGAAAAGCACCAGGAAAGCCCAGATATTTTGTTGTGATATCCTTCCTTTTATAGCATAATTACTGGATGATTTTAAACAACAGCTTGTATTCGCCAGTATCCAGAAGACTGCTTCTTTATGTTGCAGTGTGTTGCAAATCCTTGCCAAAAGCATCAGAAAAAAAAAATCCAATTCCTTCTCCCTGAAATTAGTCTCACATGGATCCAAAAAAGAAACAGTGAAAAGATGTCTTTCCAACGCTTTGAGGTGTCAGGAGACTCTTCTTTTGTATTCAATTAATTATTTATTGTCCTGTTTTATTTTTCTTCCCTGTGAGCATGTTGTACTGTAATATTTTTTTGAACCGCTGTGAAAGAACAACACAAGTGAATGCCTACTTACTGGAGTGCTTAATGTTTCTGTTTTCTCATTTTTTAATGTTCACTAAGCTCTGCTTTAACCACAAATGGAACAGAAATTCGTCCCAGGAATTAATCTATGATTTCACACTTGAGCAGAGTCCTGTTGAGAAGGAGCTGGACAGTATGTAAGATAAGAAAAAAAAGATTATAAGGAGCACCGTGAAGGATCTGAAAACACTTAGCAGAAGAGATATTCTGGCGCTGCTATTAAATGCATTTTATTTGGAACAAGAAAGCTTGAAGTTGTGCACAAGGCTGTATATTCAGTTTTTCTTCCAAGCTTTATCGCTTGTGAACTTCCAATTTATGAGAAATTCTTTCACATACTGTTACAGTATGTGTCCAATATGACTTCAAAGGTGTATAAAAAGAATTTACCATTCTGTCCAACTATCTGTACCATTCTGCTCAAGCACAACAGGCCACGCAGGCTTTTGTAATATGCACTGTTACTCTGATCTACACACTGATTAGCCTCTGACTGGTGAAGGGAACAGCACTGACCATCTCGTTACACTGCAATGTTTTGCTGGGAACCCTTGGTGTTCATGTGGATACCATTTTAAAACATACCACTTCACCTAAACATTGTTCCAGACCAAACATACGATGCATAGTAATG